AAACATAACAAAAGCAGAATTCTATAGATATGAACCTAACTACAGATGAAACTAATTAAAATATGAACAAGTACACTTTCCAAGCAATGAAACGAAAAACAGTTATTTACAGTTAAATATAGTAACATCCAAAATGTTACAAAAGAAATGCTTAAATAAAATTTCTTCCTTATAATAATATATATCGTTGTTTGTTTCCATATATTATTCTATTGCAACAATCATGATTTTCTCCTGCATTATACACAAACTTTTAAAAAATTCTTCTATTAAAGGTATTATTATTATATATTAAATAGTTTTAAGAATTATGATATTTAAATGGCAGAAAATTAAACTGCACTTCTATCTAAACAAACAAAAATTACCAAACACATAGTTATTTTCCCAAATATAAGGGAAAGTGTACCCCCTTGTTTTGCACAAAAGCAAAAACTAGGCTACATGAAAATATTGTATACAAAAACGTGTAACAATAAAGTCTTTGGAAATAATATGACATCATGTCAGAAAAAAATTATACTTGCAAAAGTAGCATAGTATCATTATGTACTCAAAAAGATATTTACAATGTTAAACTACATATAAAAATTAAACTAGCTTATTTTGATTTTTTAACAAATTTTCAAGACTGTTATCATAGAATCATAAATTGCAGTGTACCATATTCATTACTATATTTTATTCACTACCATCATACTGCAGATCAGAAAATTGCCTAATTAGTTGTTTTCTAACAAATTTACACTCTGAGTAATATTAAAAACAAATATGCCATATTCAAAGTCATGGAGGGGGGATGGAACCTTTGCCAGCTAAAAATAAATTTTTTATTAAACTCATCAGAATGTTGCAAGCTTAAAGACAGATATTACTTTCCTTAAAAAACAAATGAACAATCAAGACAATTGAATAAATGACTAATTAATAAATGCTACAACATTTCTCAGTCTACTTTTTGAAACTATTTATAATTCATTGCAAATATTATAAAACAACTAACATTTTTTAATCTGATAGTTTTTAATCTGATAGTTAATCTGATAGTTTATAATAAAGTATAACAAATTCCAAATATTTCTCCATTTTACTGTTTCTAAAGTAAGTTTATTACAAACCAGTCATTGCTCACAGGTTATTCAGTAACTGAGACTGTGCGTTAAAACACTACATTTCAAAGAATAGGAAATTCATAACTATGGATAAATTCTGAAACTCTTTATATGTTTCATGTATCAAATCTTTCTTTTTTCATTATTATTATTAAATTCATATTTATTTATCACCACTTTAACACTGACATTAGCGAAAAAGAGAAGATTTACAAGTCCAACACAAGCAGTTTCAAATGCCAAAAGATCTGACCACGACTGATGAATGTGTACAATTTATTAATCAAAATATCACATTTATAAGAAAATTTAAATATTGTACTAATATCTAACCTGAAATCATGACCATTCTGATAAATGCCATGAAAGATATAAAGAAAGTTTAAAATTGGTATGTAAAAAGAGTTTCAAACTAAAAATACTTTACTACAATTTAAAAAAATAACAGTTTTATCTGATACAATAAACAAATTGATACAACAAATGAAAATCTGATATAACAATGATATGTCTGATACAACAAATGAAGTAATGCAATAAGTGAAAACCGTACTTCAAATTCGTTAAACATTAGAACGTCTCAAAGAACACTACAGTACAAAGTCAGAGATCCGGAATGATCTAAATTCCAGACCCTTATTTTTTAACAAACTTTATTAGACCAACAAAAATTTTTTATGCATTACACATGTGCATTTGATTTTTCCTGCCATGACATGTGGAGAATCCTGATTCTTAATTTTACTTCAGTAGTAAATTAAAATACCTCGTTATTGAAGAAACAATCATTTTAGCATAAATTTGTATGATCAATAACTTGCCTTCGTAGCTGCACATTTGCTTGGCATACATCTCAAACTGAAACATTCTACATGAAAACATCGTTGATATTATGACTACTAATATTTTATATCCCTGATGCCAGCTTGGCAAATCCTTATTTATTATATTTTGCTTTCATCATTACATGTTTGTCAACAGCAGATAACTTCAATAATGACTCATTCAGCAGTGCCTAAATACTTTTTTTTAATTAGTAATTGGATAGCAAAGAGTATACATGTTGACACTACGCTTGGCGACGATTACAAGTTTAAGTAAAATGTGCTAAACGTTGATGAGCTAAAATTTAACAAAAATTTCTTTCCGTATGATGAAAATAAATTTTTTATTAATGATACTCATAGGCAAAAAGATTACATTTAGTGCTATTTGAATTGCGAATAATTGATTTTTTTTATTCACATAAACTGAGAACCGACACCAGAGCTCGTATGGTCACCGGGGGCAGCAGAATATAGGACAAAATTTTTGGAATTTAGAGAAGCACTGAGTAACAAAATTAGGGATGATAAAATTTTTAGAATTTAGAGAAAACACTGGAACCCAAAATTAAGGGGCGGTAAAAATTCAGAACTTAGGAAGGTGCTTGGTAGCAGAATTTAGGACCTGCAGAGACTACATCAGGAAGTAAAATATCTAGCACCAGCCCTCAGTAAGCTTAAGTATATGTGGAGATTTATTTTTTCAGGACTCAAATAAACCTTAAACATGTGCAAGAAATAGACGTAAGTATAATATATAACTAAATTAATACAATTCAGACTTAGTTGTCTCAATGTGTGATAAAAGCAAGACAAAATTTAATGGAACTTGTCTTCAGTCGCCAGTCTCATGTTACATATAACGTTAGTACATAATGCTAGATATTACTACATGTTACTTAGTCTCATGGCAACAATATATAGTGGACACTGTTAAGCTAAGCTAAAATTATACTTTACTGATTCAAAAGAATTTCTGTTAATATAGCAGATTGCACTGTTAATTAACTTTCTGATTTGTTACAGCTTATTGTGTTTTGTAGGCTGTCATAATTACAGCAATTTTATGAAAATTAAAGTATGAACTTTTGGTTATGTCGAAAAGAGTTTCTAATTCTGGAGCTGCAACAGGATCTACAAAGCAAAAGCCTGTTCCGATGTCCATTACACAAAAAGTGGAATTGCTGCAAAAAATGGATATAGGCATATCTGTCTCAAAATTATGTGAGGAGTATGGCATTGGAAAGTCAACTGTATATGACATAACAGAAAAAGGAACTTAATAATTTTTTGCAGATTCCAACACCCCACTTGTAATGAATAACAGAAAAATTATTCGCTATGCATAAAATTTGCTGTGTGGAGCATCGGAAGATCGTCAGAGGATGTGCCTCTGAAATTTATGGCCAGTTACCATATTTCACGGTATGGATAATGAAGATGATAGCTCCAAATTTGAAGGTTTTCGGATATCACAAACCAGAGGTGAAATTTTCCAATCAATGGCTTTTGTAAAAAATGTAGAGAAGAGGTAATAAATGAAGATGATATTACATAAGTTTTTATTGCGATGAAAATGTTCCAATCATCATTCAATTAGTGGATGGCAAAATCTGTAGTGTGGTTCAATATCTAGAAAATACCGCTACAGATAGTGAAGAAAATGACAGAGAGAAAAACAAAAAAGTTTTGATTGACAAGTTAGTCAAAATTCTCGACACAGCAACTACAGGACTCGAACAGTGTAACTTTGTCAGTGAACAAGAAAATATGTCTGTCTATAGAAATAAAGAGAAAATATTAGCACAAAAAAATTAAGCAACTTAAACAATTTACATTGAAAGAAATGTTTAATATATTGAAAAAATAAATATTAGCTCCTTTTTAAGTAAAGTTTGGTACTTTCAGATCATAAATGCTTCATTATTTCATAAACCCTGATTTCATATGCTTAATTTTGTAATTTCTACATGCTATCTTACTAGATTTAAATAGATGATCGAATATCTGGAAAAATCCGGAATCGCCAAAGTCCCGACGAGTCCGGATCTCAGACTTTGTACTGTAATCCTGAAATATAATAGTAATATAATATAATCCTTTATAATGTAATCCTGAAAACTGAAGTACTTTTACACTGAATTTTCACTTTTAAAAGCTGCCTTCCATGAGAAATTCACACTTAAAAAATCATTATTTAAAACAATTATGCAAAAATAAATAAATAAATCTATCAATTCAGAACTATTATTTCATTTACCACATCTTAGAATATAATTAACCCCTTAACTGCCGCGGAAAACGTACAAGATTCATTTCCCAGTGCCACGGTTTTTCACACAGGCGCGCACTGTTATGCGTTGTATTAGGGGGAAAATAAGTGCAAGTTTTACTTTCTAAAAACTGTTTACTTTCACAAAATAAAGAATAAAAGAAAAAAAAATGAATGCACAAAATTTGAGTAAAAGTATAATAAAAAGATATAAGTATAATAAAAATGAGGGTTTTATATATAAAAAAGTCCCTAAATGCAGTTTCGATCAATTCATTTTTAGACCAGTAAAGTCTAATATCAGGTTTCAGTGTTATACCTTGGGAAATCAAGTATGCCTAAAAAAAACATATTTCTTCTGAACTGGTTGAATGCCAAAAAATGTTCTTGATTTTTTGTTTGCAAAGTGTTAGTTCATATACTCGTCTACAAAACGGTTAGTTTCAGTAACAATATGAAGCACGAGCAGTTCAGAAAAAAATAATTCAAAAAAGATAAATGGGTTTTGAAACATCCGTTATATCTTTCTTTATTCCTGGAACCTACTACAAAAAGTAAACGAAAATGGAAAGGACACAGGACTCACAAAAAAAAAAAAAAAAAAGTTTTACTCAAACAACACTAGCCAATACATCGGCCAATACCGCGCAGTCATTACTTTCACCGCTTTAGACACACCTCTCTCTCCAATTTCTCCCCACACTTCTCTGATCGTTCAATAGTATTTTCCTTCGCATACTTTGTCAAGGTCATTGTGGTGTTGCATTCCAAAGCTTTGCGAATAATTTTAGGTGTAGCAGCGCAAAGCAAATGATAGCAGTTTGGAAGGACGTATATATACGCCTGGGGCAGTTAATGCATCAGCTGAGCAAGGCGTATATATACGCCCGCGGCAGTTAAGGGGTTAATGTATTACAAGTTCATACACAAATATATGTATACTTATGATTTGGAGCATCAATGAATTACATTTTAACATAAATTTCTGTACTTAATAGGAACTAATAAAATGAAAGTTTGTATAGTAAGCACTGTGAATAAGCTAGCATGTTTTGTAAAGTATAATGCATTTGATTGAAATATCAACACAATTATGATGATATAACTTTAGAAGTTAAATTATTCTTATTAATAAGTAAGATACACAGAATGACATAGGGTGTTGCCAGCTTTATCTTCAATGTGACACATCAATGCATTTAAAAATATTTTAAGAGATTTCCTCTTACTCAAAAGTTATACAAATTGCAAGTTTTCATTAGCTTAATGATGGGAACATTTATTGAAATAATTTAAATTTTAAATTCAAAAACCATTCTGTCAACATCACAATGCACTACAAAACATAAATAATAGAAAATCAGCACAGTTGCTGCAAACTTATTAATATCACTATACGGTTAAATGTTTTGTGCATTAAATCTACAGTACCCAACACAAGTGATGAAAGGAACAGAATTCATGCTGGAAGAAAGTAGGGATTGTCTATGAGCAGTAATTTCAACAATAACAAACTGCTGCTCCATACAAAATTTAAATGTGTTAACTAAAATAAAAATTACTCTTTATGTTGTTAGTATGCTATAAATATCTGGGTTATTAATTTTCCTTTAAATTATTCTTAAAAACACTAGCCAAAAGTCCAGATGGGGGACTAATGCTCAAAACTGTATATTCTGGACATAAAAAAATGAAATGATTATGGGAAATAAATATACATATCAATGACTTTCAATGTGTAATGAATGGACTCTTCAAGGTAAAACAGTTTGTATAGAAAAGAATGGGTATTTAAAAATTTTCATATATACAGGTTCGTACTGAAAGTAAAAAGAATATCTTATGCTTAATACATTATGGTAGAAAAATATTTCTTTTCTGTGTGATAGATATTTACTATTTGTCCCATAGAAACTTGAAAACACCAAGCTATTAGTAATTATACGTATACATGAAGCACAATGAAATGTAATTATTAGCTGAGTGCCCAAATGCAACAAATTAGAAACAATACGATCTTGAATGAATATAAAGATAAGGCAGATGACGATGTAATGGTGGGAGACACACGAGGTGGAGGTAATTTATCTGTTGGCAAAGCACTTGGCACACTAAAAAACAGATCTTCAAAATCTTCTGCAGAAGCTACATTTCCAAAGCCACTCCCACTTCCACTACCACTAGATAATTCTGTTGAAATAAAAGTATTCTAAATGTCATACATTTTTTATTTCATACTGACTACACATTCAAAAGAAAAAATTTTTTAAACATGAGAAAATATTTTTTTAATCCATAAAAGGTACATACTGTCTTTTACACTGCATTTGTATATGTCAAACTTTAAATTACTTTTTAAGATGTTTGAGGGCTCTTTTTTTCATATTAACTAATTTCCTAATCCAATCCCTCTCGTAAAATGTGCTCCTGTATCTCTATCTACCAAATCTCTGATGCTTCAACGCTTCTACCATCTAAAATCTTGCAGCCTGTTTGCAATTTTCCCAAACTTAAAAATGTGAAATTGCATAGTACATGTGACATTTATATTTATATTGACAGCATTCATCAAACCATTATTTTCATGCTATTTTGGATGTTTCTTACTGTGATGAAGTTTTTGGTGATCTGGAAACACTCTCAAACTTCTTCCCATATAAATAAATTTGTTGTTGTTGTTGTTTATACTATTTTCGTTTATAAATGTGCCCACAGAGACACTTCACTTACGTAAAGGAACTAAAACATGTATGTGTATTTTTAAATTTTAAGATAATATATACTTTTTTAATAATCACACTCTTTTTAAGTGAAGAAATTAGTCCTGAAATTCATGAATCTGTATTAGAAACACTCCACCATATGTGTCATAAAACAATCACAGAGATTAATCTACTCAGAAAATACACAAGGCAGAAATCTACACCACTTCTTTTTAGTGAAAAATAAGAGAGTTACTGAAAGGGAAAAAGACATTCTTCAATTGTTTTCTGTATGCAGCTTTATACTTAGGCTTGGTATATTTTAACCCATATGTCTTAACAGGAGCACTTCAAACTAAATGTAACTATTTTGATATAATTTGTGCTTACTAATCTACAGTCCTAAATACTGACTGAAGGAAACTTACCATGCAATCTATGATGGTAAAGCATATTCTTAAATTAGCTCTCACAATATATAAAAACTTTATTAACTAAGATTTCATACAAATAAAATAAATAAATCTTCTACAAACAAAATACATCTACACACATTATATCATTATCACAATTAAAACTACTCCACAGAAGGATCTCTCATCTAAATCTACTAGGGTTCAGACCTAGGTGAACAGGCTGATTGTATGGGTGTTTTATTTTCCCCACACGTAATGTAAATAGAAGCAAGTTTTCATGAGAAAATCTCCCACACAGGGATCTCTTTCTTCAAGCAGATAGCTCTTGTTTGACTCTGCTGTATTTAAATAACCAAACTTAATCTTCTAATCCTACTACAGTAATTTCTATAGAAAAATATTTTTTCAATAGCACTGCTAATTTTACACTTCGCACCCAAACTTTTAGCTTATAAAATCAGAAATTCAAATTTTGTTCTATTTTTCTCAAAGAGTACAAAAAAAAAAAAAAAAACTGGCAGCAATTCCTGCAACCCAAATTATTTAATGAATTTTGGAACTCAAACTATGATTTATTAAACAAGCAACATTTCAGAATGGTACATCTACAAAACAAACTAAGCATGCTGTAAGCCAAATCTCCCAAAGTTATTTAATATGATACTCTGAAAAAAAAAAAATTTTTTTTTGTTGCTCCCTTCTAGATAAATGTTCACCAGTAAGCAAGATTTGCATTTAGAGGGGCAGGGGAGGCTGAATAACAGGCTCATAAAAACATCAATTATTATGGGGAATATAAATTACTTATGAAGAAAACTCCAAAATAAAAATTTCCTTTCACAGGTTTTGGTTTTGTCACATAGCATATTGCAGTGTTAATGCACATTAATAATGTATACTTTACACCTCCGAATGTCAGGAGATGCAATGATTAATGTGATTTCCTTTTCATTATTAGCTTGTGTTCGCCTTTCACAGCATTAAATGACGTAATATATGTTTTGGGCAATCTGCCAGCTTTAACCTCTGAACTTCAGTTATAGAGTCGCAGTAATGTTGATCGCTGCTGTATTGTGATGGTTTACTTTTCCATTCTCCTAATAAACGTTGTTATCCCTGTAATGTAGTTATAATTCAATTTATGATATATATAACAGGTTATGGGCCCAGACAAATTAGGAGAAGTCTTTCATAAAGGCATATTGTCAAAAGTCTTTGATCCGGACATCCATAATCCGTAATGATCTATAATCCGGACCTCAAAGCTACAAACTTTCTGCGCATGCGTAAACACGTCAACGCTTTTATGTATAACGTATGCTTTTATGTTTAATGTATAACGGATGGTATAAGCTAAGCTAAAATTATCTAATTATCTATTTCAGTTAATGTTGCAGATTGCATTGTTCCTTAATCTTTTAATTGGATCCGGCTTATTATTTTTTGCAGACTGTTAGAGAAATTTTATAAAAGTAAGCTTGAACTTTTGATAATGTCAAAATTTTGATGTCCATGAAACAAAAAGTGGAATTGCTGCAAAAAATGGATAAAGGCATATCTTTTGTTTCTCTAACCATTCCGAAATATGTTTATCAATTTCACGCTGCTCTGCAGAGGGGGGGGGGGCAACGCAGCACGCAATGAACTGGAAGTTGATTTGTCAGCACTATCCTTATCTTCAGGGCAGATATTTTTATTTTATTCGGCTTAT